GGAGGGGGGGTGCCTGCACCCGTGGGGAGTCTTTGTGTATTTCCGAGAGCAGCCCTTTGCCACACGCCTTTTGCAGTATTTCCTCCCTGTCTGTGGCGTGTCTTCTCCTCCCGACGGCGTCCATCGCGGGGGCGCAAATTCTTAGCTTTAACGCCGTCCCTGCTCGTCAACTGCGTCTTTCACGGACTGTGCCTTGGCGTCGTACCTGAACGGCCATCGCCAAACCCATGGGCGGCTGCGTCTTTCTCTTGTCTTATCTTCTAGGAGTTTCACGGTTTTGCATTTTACATTCAGATCTAGAATCCATTTCAAATTAATTTTTGTGACCGATTTAAGGTTTGCGCGTAGATTCGCTTCCTTGTGCGCCTGGGCAGGCGCAGGTGCCGGCCCCTTCGTGGGGACGGCGGTCTTTGTTCCACTTCCCGCTTTGAACCTTGGCTGTGTCTGTGCCGGTCCGTGTCTGGGCTCCGCGCTCTGTTCCGACCCAGTTGTCTGCTGTTTTCCTTTCGAATCTCGCCCCGTCCTGACTGCCGCAGGCTCGTAGCGAGTCGCCAAGCCAGGTGGTGCGGTCCTGGGACCAGGTTCTCCACCGTCGGTTCTGTGCTGGCTGCTCTGGGTCGGCTGCTTTCTCCATGTAAACTCCAGGATTGACAAATTCTAACTAACCGTCAGTTCTGAAGTTCTAAACAGGGTGTTGATAGCCACAAAATAACTCTCTGGGATTCTGACCGGGATCGTGCAGAACACATAGATCAGTTCGACAGCTTGACAGCGTCGAGTCTTCCCAGCCGTGACCATGGGACAGCTCTCCGTTTATGTAGCTTTCGTTTGCATTTTTTCATCAGAGTTTTGTCGTTTTCCTCATAGAGAATGCGACACATCATTTATACCCAAGTATTTCTTTTTCCTTTTTTTGGAGTGCCAGTATAAACGATAATTTGCTGTTTTAATTTTAAATTCCATTTGTTCATTGCTGGTATACAGAAAAGTGGTTGACTTTCGTATATTAACCCTGTGTCTGGCAATTTTGCTATCATCATTTATTAGTTTCAGCGGGTTTTGTTGTTGATTCTTTTGTGTTTTCTGCATAGAAAATCTCGTCCTCTGTAAACAGAGATAGTTTTACTGCATCCTTCCCAATCTGTATGCTTTTGTTAATATTTTATTATTGTTATTATTTTGCCCTATTGCATAGTTAGCACTCGTGGTACGACGATGGAAAGGAGGGACCTTCCTGCCTTGCTCCCGACCACTCTGGCTTTTTCTGTTGGGCTCCTGTCTGATCGGCTGGCGCTCGTATCCTAGGCTTTTTCAAATATTTTATCATCTTTGCTTTCTTTTGTTTTCCTTCCTGTCTTGGATTTTTTTATTTTTTATTTTTTGGAGGGTGGAGGGACCTCTGTCCTGGCCGGTGACTGTTGCCTCAGCCCTGCCTCAGTCTCTGGTTCTCGGATAAGGACGGACAGCTGCCACCTCCGAGCTGCCTTGTTTCTGGTCACCCACCAGCTTCCGTCTTGGACTCATGTGCTCGGTCCCTTTGTAGCCTCTTCTCTGTCCCTTCCGTAGGGTGGAGACGTCCCCAGGGCCAGTTTGTGCACACTCAGCTCAGGGCTTGATGAGAACAAGGCTCTTTTGTTTGTTTGTTTGTTTCGTGATCATTATTTACTGAGCAAAACCAAACTGCTAGACTGGGAAGGCCACTGCCGGCCCCTCTGTCCCCTCCCCGTCTGGAAGAAGCCGGCCCTGGCAGGGTGCACCCACCTTGGCTCGCAGCCACTCAAATCTGTGACTCCTTTGTTAAGATAAAAGGGTCTCCTTGAACTGCTTTTGGAGTTTGGGGGATGGGGCAAAAGGTGATTTCTCTCCTGTGCTGCAAAGGACTGAGGAGAGCCAGGTCTGTTACGACCCGTGTTAGGACTCGGCAAGGTCGACGGTGACCGGCCGACTCAGGGGCGAGGGATGCGCTTAAACGCGGGAGAAGACTCCCGCGCGGGGAGCTCTTTGCTGCGGCGCTCAGATCTCTCTGTCTCCCGCAGGTCCCTACTGGACTCACGTCCTGTTTACGTGGAAGTCCAAGGAGGGCCTGAAAGTCTACGTCAACGGGACCCTGAGCACCTCCGACCCGAGCGGGAAGGTGGCTCACGCCTACGGGGACCCCGACGTCAACCTGGTGATAGGGTCGGAGCAGGACCAGACAAAGCGCTACGAGAACGGAGCGTTCGACGAGTTCATCATCTGGGAGCGGGCCCTGACCCCGGACGAGATCGCCATGTACTTCACAGCCGCCATCGGTCAGTGCGCGGGGGGCTGGGGCGGGGCTGGCGTCTGTCCCTGGGGCACCTTCGTGTCCCCCTCCCCCTCCCAGCACGTCCCTCCTCCCTCTTGGTGTCAGCCTGCAGGCGCGAGACGCGTCCCCGCGGACCTCAGGGGTACGGTTATAGACAGGGGCGTTCACAGTCTCCCAGAGACACCTGAGAGGACGCTCTCGTCACCACGGGGCTCCCCGGCACCCGTGACAGATGATGGGGGAGGCTTTGGAGAACGAATGTTCCAGATCTTTGGCGCATTCCATCAACCAGTGTTTGCTCATCCCTTGGGGAGCCCCCGGGATGCCTCTTCCCGCTCAGCACGGGGTGGCGCTGACCCACGGGCAGGTGGACCCGGGTTCAAATCTCCACTCCGCCCTCATGAGCCACGGGCTGTTGGGAAGTCAGGATTTTAAGAATTGAGGAAAAATTCACATAACGCAAACTTAAGCATTTAGAAGTGAACAGTTCAGCGGCGTTTAGTACAGTCTCGATGCCGTGCAACCCCCCGCTCTGTCTAGTTTGAAGCCCCCAGAAGAAACCCCACACCAGGAAGCAGTCGCTCCTGCCCTGCCCCAGCCCAGCAGCCGCCGAGCTGCTTTCTGTCTCCCGGACCTACTTCTTCCCGAGACTCCATAGACACGGAATCAGACAGCATGTGGCCCTTTTGTCTTCACAGCTCAAATCATGTTTGTTCCTTTGTGAGGTGGATAAAAGCAACACTGCGCGCTGGCTCTCCAGAGACACGTTGTGGAGATAAAATGTGAACAGACGTGCGAGGCCATTAGTGCAATATCTGGCATGTGGCGAGTTTTCGATAGGTCTTAGCTGTTTCTATTATTTTATTTTTAATTTTGTTTTTTTAGAGACAGGGTCTCACTCTGTCACCCAGGCTGGAGTGCAGTGGCACGATCACAGCTCACTGCAGCCTCCACCCCCCTGGCTCAAGCAATCCTCCTGCCTCAGCCTCCTGAGTACCTAGGACTATAAGTGCACCACTATGCCCAGCTAATTTTTCCACTTTTTTTAGAGATGGGGTCTCGCTATGCTGCCCAGGCTGGTCTTGAACTCCTGGCTTCAAGTAATCCTCCAGCCTCAGCCTCCCAAAGTGCTGGGATTACAGACCTGTGCCTGGCCAGTTTTTAAAGTTAATATTCACTTTCCCCCTACAGTTTTGTTTTCATTTGCCTACAAGCGAACCCAGTTTCTTTATGTCCACGTAAAATAATCTGTCAAGAAACGACAGCCGCCATGTAGGCGCCTCACGCCATCGGTGCCGGGACCAGGAGGTGAAAGGCCTGGGTCCCCCCCGCCGCTCAGGTTCTGACGTTGAGTCCGTCAGCTGTGAGGACTCTGTTGATTGTACGAGAGAAAAACTCAGCTCAAATTGACTTCACCTGCTCCCGCCACCCAAAGCGACCTCGAGGGAGTTTCTGGAAGTGAAGTGGAAAATCTGGCCAAGTCTGTGTTCTCGTCAGGGAGCGGGAGGATTAGAAGTCGGTGACAGGCAGACAGCGCGAGTCACGGCTCAGTCTTTGCTCGTCTTCATTGTCCGTGATTACTTACTGTTCACCCCGTGGGGTCGTGAGGACAGAGTAATAGCGTCCCTGGGGATGGGAAACTCAGGGAGGTGGTTCCCGGGCCACTTTGCCGGGTCTCATCTCTCCCCATCTGTGTTGGAGGAAAGCGCTCGCGGGTCTCCATGGTGTCCTCGCCCCGCGATTAACGCCACTCCACGGCCGCCGTGGAAATCTATTCCTTTGGGCTCTTCATTCATTTGAGATCAGCAATACCATGCATAAAACCATCTTTGTGTAGGACGACTTGCGTGAAGGGTGTTCGAAAGCAATTTGTGGTACAAATGGGAAAATATCTGACGTGGGAAAATCCATACTACCTATTAGCACCCGTTACGCCGATCTATGCGCCTTTGTCTCTCCGGCAACGCTCCTGCTCCAAACAGTCTCGGGCTCTCTTGGTGTTCTGGAGCCGGGAAACTGTGCAATAAGGACAGGCCTTCCTTGGGGTGACAGAAGGTGGCTGTGTTTTAACCCTTAATTAAGCATTTTTCTTTTTTTCCCAGGAAAGCATGTTTTGTCACTGTCCACCCCGCCAAGCCTCGGCGTGACCCCCGCAGCGAGCACCGCGGTGAGCAGATGAGTTTCCTTTGGTTCCTGCCACCCCCTGGCTGACGTCTGTCTGCTCGGACTGTCTGCCGGGGACAGACTCTCCTGGCTGGGCTGGGCTCCCCCTGCGGGCGGAGTGCTGTCTGGGGGAGCCGGCAGGTGGAAGGGAAGCCAGCTCTGATGCTGAGTCTTGGCTGGGGAACCCCTTGGTTCCTGTCCCCTGTAAGCCCAGGTGCCTGAAGGGAGGGAACCAGATTCCTGGGAACACGTGGAGGTCGAGGTCGTTGCCCGGACGGGGGCTCAGTGGGTGGGGCGCGGGGAGGGGCTGCCTGGACACTCGGCCTCCGTGTGTGTCCTTTTCTTCTGACGCCGGAGGATACGGTCGATTTGTCTAGAAAATGTTCCCCGTGGGAATCACTATGTGCACTAGAAGAACTTTCCTTTCCTGAGAACTTCGATGCAGACTGAGCCGTCTGAGTGGGCTCAGCCTACCGGTTCTGAATCCGGTTCCACCACTTACCTGGGTGGAGCCCTCTGTGCTTAGCTTCATCCCCCCAGAGGGTCCCCACTTCACGTTGTCACAGGGATGAGACGCAAATATATGCACAATAGTCACAAAAGTGCCGGTATGTAGTGGGTACTATATTGTTGTTTATGTATTTATTTATTTGAGACAGAGTCTCGCTCTGTCACCCCAGGTAGAGTGCAGTGGTGCGATCACAGCTCACGGCAGCCTCAAACTCCTGGGCTCAAGCGATCCTCCTGCCTCAGCCTCCCGAGTAGCAGGGACTACAGGCATGCGCCACCATGCCCGGCTAATTTTT